CAAGATGCAAGTAGATGATCATTGGAACAGATGTGTCGCATACATGGGTATAGTTGTGGAACAATTACTGACCCTTGGATGTGTTTAGAATACAGTCAACTTCTACATCTAACCTTATGTCTCAGCAGACCAGAATCTTAATTCTAAGCTCACATGCAAAGCTTTCACTCAAATATTGCCAAAAACCAAATCCACATGGTACTGCTTTTTCAGATGTGAGTGGACTCTAGCAGGTTGACTTAGACACCAGACTCTTAAAAGGGATATAACACATTTCGCAAAATAATTGATACATCATAAATACATGCTAAACAAGCCATTTTGTAATATGGTGTTTTTTTGTTTTTTTTTAAATGCCCTTCCTATTACAAACTGCAGCCATCTAATTATTTTATAATGCAAAAAATAGATGATGCTTTGTAATCATATCACCACAAACATATTATTTACAGTTCCTACCATGGACTAATTTTCCCAGCAGTTCTGCTCCATACCTCCCAACTGTCCCTCATTTGGATGGATTGCCCCTCTCTACTCCTCAGTTGTCCCCCTTTTGCGTCTGATGTACAGGTTCTATTGAACTACCAAAAGTGTTATTCTGCACTAAAACCTTCATCTTATCTCCTAATTACCTTGTTTGCTATTTCATAAAGCCAGTGTAAAGAAAAGGTAATTGTGATAAAACTATTCTGGGTTTAACCATTTTTGGCATATAAATTCCTCCTGGTCCGCATAACTGCATAACTAGTAGCATGGTAGGGGTATGTCCATTGCTTAAATACATTGGGCTAGAAGGTGTCCCTGTTTCTCATCTTAGAAAGTTGGGAGGTCTGCTGTTCTTTTACAAGAGTAGGAAAGATCATGTGACTATAGCAGACAGACCCTCCGACTCAGCCGTAAGGAGGTGGGATGTGACTGGATCCCATGAGTCAGTTTCCCCAGGAGGTGAGACTGGTAAGGCAACAAAATCAGCTACAATCCCCAATGTATATAATTGACTTAGAGAGTAGTTGTTGTTTTTTTTTCCACTGCAAAAGTGAAGTGACACAATATCCTGCCATGGGCATTACAAATACAGGAGAATGCTAGAGGAGCCACATTAAGTATTCTCACTCTACCATCTTAAACTGTTCCCACACACCTTCCTGAAGAAGTGGCCATCATAGAGCCATGGGAACGCGTAGATGTTGTAACATTCACACCTTGTGATAAATCAATCTTTTGATACACAAGCCTTCCTAAAATCCCTTTATTCCATCATCGGAGCAACTGCAGACCTCCATATTTATAGGGGGCTCAGATTTTTACCTCCAAATACAGGAGTGGGCATTGCATTTTTGGCAGGAACATAACAAAAAAGGCCTTCAAAGAAGGGGGGAGGATTCAGGATCAACAGTATGGTTTCATTGGCCTGGTAGTTCTTCCACCCATGAAGGAATGTTTTTATGTTGTTATAGGTACACCCCTATCAAGTGACAAAATGTTGCATTTAAAATCCCACAAAGGATACAGACTACCTGCTCTGAGTGGCCTTGTCCTTGCATTAATATTGTGCACCTGACTGTCCCACTTACAAGAGGTGTATTACTGCCGGTAACTTCTGAATATCTCCAAATATGCACCAAAATGAAGGCCAAATACCAGCAACTCCCTCTTAGAGAGAGTACACAGCATAGGATGTGCAACGAAGCTGGAATCCTACTCAGAAGCACTGTAAGAAGCCTGCTAAAGCCATCTTAAAATTTCTGCACAAACCTCACATTGAAAGAAATCTGATGTTGGTAATGTCTCCAGAGATGCATTAACAGTTTATGTATCATCTGTATCTGCTGTTTAAACAAAGGTGAACAATTTTATTATAGATCAGCATACTAAAGTAATACGTTTGCTGCGGCACACTGCAAGCTGGTTCATATTTTCTGGCTGCAGATGGAGCAGACAGAAGACGTGACTCCTATGTCTCAGAATGCTCAAAATGAGCGATAATATCTCATTGAGTGACTCAATGGCAACTAAGGCATCTGATATGAGGAAGCTGTGAGAAAACCTTCTGTTTAGTCACTGGTTTTATGTCCTTTGAAGAGGAGTTGATTAGACCCTACATGGTCAGCAGAGAGCGAGAGGATCCATGCTGCAGCTCTAATTGTAGAAATAACGAAGGGGATCAGAGTTCTGTGTGAGGCTGTGAAATATCAAAATTTAGACTTCAGATACAATGAGTCATCTGTACATGGACACATGTAATAGAAGGGCAGAGCTCAGAGCTTTACATGTATATGAAGCCATTATTGAGATTTATATTTATATACAAGTGTGATTACCCCATTTAACGTCACAAAGCATCATTATACCTCCCAACTTCCTGGGACAAGAAAGAGGGACACCTTCCAGCAAAATGTATTTAGACAATGGAAACACCCCGGCCACATCCCCAGTTATGCGGACCATTAAGAATTTGTATGCCGAAATGATTGGTTAAACACAGATAATGGTTAAAAAAAGATAATTAAGTGCAGAATAACACTTTTGTTAGAACCTTTTCATAGATATCTATCTATAAGACAGACCAAAAAGAGAAACAACTGAGAAGGAAAGAGGGACAAAGGGATATGGTTCCAAATTAAGTACAGTCCCTCCAAAGGAAAGATAGATGGGAGGTATGCATCATGGTAACTTGATTCTGCAGACATTTCCTGGAATGCTCCAGAGACTTGCCAATGACTTTCAATGGTTGTGGACAGGTACCCGATTGTGGACAAAACTATCTCCATAAGACACAGATTTTTCAAGAATACAAGACAGAGGAACAGGAAGAAAACAAAAGAGGCAATGCTTCCTTTCATACTGCCTTGCAACTTATTCTGCCAATAAACATTTTACTCCAGGGTTGCTAAGGTAAAACACCGTCTTTCTGATGTGCTTCTAACATGAACCACAACTGGTAAGAACCTAGCAAATTGAATGTTTTTTTTTGGACAAAATAAAACATTCTGGGTTTTTGCCAGAAAAGTAGCTTTTTTATATGGTAACTGATGAAATGAGCATGGCCTGAAATAACGGTCCTTTGCTTGATAAATGAAGCCCTGGGTGTTTGCTGACTAGTGGGATAAAGATTCCACGTTGTAATATGGGTTGGAAATAGAGCTGCAAATAATCTGACAAGAAGCAGAGCTCCTATAATCGTACTGATGAGTCGGAGAATCCGGCCAAAAGTCAGAGAGTTCCCAGACCTGCTTATGAGAAGCCAAGGAAAATGTTTTACAATTAAAAGCAGCATAGGATCTAGGAAGCTAGGTTCCAGTTATATTTCTTGGCATAAAGTCTGTAAAGGATTCCTACATGTGCTCCACTATGGCCTTTCATTATATGGTGACTGCAAGAAAACAGCCTACTAGAGCAACATGACTTTATGGAAAATAAGGAGCTCCCTGCTATCACATGCTAGTTTGAATAGTAAATGGACCAAAGCAAAAAAAATAAATCTGTTCAGCACACACACCCAGCACTCATAAGTGCACAAGCGCCATCAGAAAGCCACCCCTGCATCTCATAGGCAGGAAGCCACATGTGCCTGTTCTCCTGTACAAAAAGAGAATATAAGAGATGCAGGAACTATCCATCAAATGTGAGTGATTGCATTCTCCCGAATATACAAGAAACACCTGGATATTAGGCTATATAAGGGAGCCATGGCACTATATCCCATATCCAAAGTGAATTTCTCAGATCACTACTGAAAACCCCCCTGCCTGGTTGCCTTGGATAATCCAATACACTGAATAAACCTCAGTGTATCAGTGGAAACAGCTGTAGATCCGAAGATAGACCAGAGGAAATAATCTGTGGTTGCATCACATATTATAAATAAGTACATGTTTATCAGAGATATTATTCAATAGCTGCACCAAATGTAAATGAGCTCCAGCGAAAACAGATAAAACATTATGCTAACAGCATTTCCTGAGGAAGTTTTCGGCACAGGAAGTCCTGAGTTCAACATGTTTTCCAGCAGTGTCAATCTTGACCTGATGCTACACTGTGTCACTTCAACTGGGATAATGAATGGTCAGGAATCTCATTGCTCTCCTTCTACTGTATAATTCTTTATCTGTCCCGCATTTCCTGCGTCTGCAATGCTCGGTATATACACTGTGCAATTAATCACATGACTGTACAGCTCCTTCGCTGTATGACCGGAGCACGCAGCAACTTATATTTCCTGCAGCCAACACTAGATAAAATATATCTTTCACAGTATCCCCAGGGCAACACAATTTCTACTAACATTACCCATTAGGCAATGGATATTTCAGGAGCCTGTATGGGCATTGTTTGTATTTTTTACAGATATATCATGACCTGGATGAACGAGAACCTTCACAGACATAACCGTACAAGTTAAAAAACAATTCCAATAATAAAAATGATGATTCCCTATCTTGCTTTATATCAAATTTGAAGTAAATGTAGAAGTACAATTGAAGACCAAACTCAGTTTTTTTTTTTTTCTCCAGGTACATTGTGAAGGGTTGCATCTACAAAATGCAGCTTTATCCCTATGTACACTAGGCATAAATTCAGGACTTTTTGTTTGTCCTTTCTTTCTCTTCCCTCCATATCTGCCAGTTACAGTAGAAAAGAGTCCAAAGAAAAGGATAAGGGAATGGGGGCAAAAAAAACAGCCTGACTCACTTGTCTAGATGGTATGCATTAGGAATCAGAACAATCTAGTTACCCATGAGAGCCCCGTGTCCTTTATGACCCAAGCAAATCCCTTGTATAAAGACTAACAGGGCTATTCACAAAAGGGTGAAGAGTTTGGAGAAGGCAGGAGAAGTGAACAATCTAGGACAACATCGCTGATTTGGAAAAATTCTCCAATTCAGCTCACTTTCCAGTTCAGCGATGTTGTCCTAGATTGTTCACTTCTCCTGTCTTCTCCAAACTCTTCACCCTTTTGTGAATAACCCTGTAGTTGTTAGAGGAAAAGTGGCGCCTACCTTGTCCCCAGAGTGTGACGCACTGCTGCTCATGGGTCTGACACATGCCGCTGTAGCAATACCCATCCAGTTTGTAGCAAGGGTGACCATCGTGTAGGTAGACATTGGGCGGGCAGTGTGCGCTGATTCCAGTGCAAAATTCAGGCAGATCACAGAAGTTATTTGCATCCCGGCATGGAGTTCCACCCGACTTTAGCTGGAAGGCCAAAGCAAAATTATTAAAATCATAATCAATAGGGGTATTTTCTTTTCCCCTCACCACTTTCACAAATTTTCCTTACTTTGGAAAATGCAAACAATTTACAATAATAATTATTCTTAACTCTTGCAGTGGGGCTATCCCCGCACCTCAAGGGTTAAGTGCACGTTTTAGGGATTAAAATTACAAAGTTATACTCACCTGAACCTAGCAGCTTTTAGACCCGTTCTTGCCAATTCACTCCCCCTGCACTCCAATGGTTTTAGGTCCTGTGAGTCATCATGTTCTATACAGTGTATAGGACGTGAGTAGGTCAAGGGACATTCCATCGCTGGACCGGAGTAGCAGTCAGCCAACTCCAAGGTTCAAGTGAGATCTTTTTTTATTTGTGTCCCTTGATGAAAATGAGCACTTAACCCTTGCAGTGCGGGGGTAGCCCCACCGCAACAGTTAAGAATAATTATGCCTAGAGTTCTTCTTTAACTTTCTTTTTTCAGACTGAGAACATTTTCAGCAAGTACAGAAAATAATTGATCTTGACAGAAATGCAAGTGTCCTCCTCACTTACTGTCAGATACAAGGAAAATCGAAATTACTTGCATAAAGTACTAATGTCCCCATCAACCTACATAATGGAGAAGAAACATAGGTAGACATGCTTGAACTCTAGCCTGGGCGACAACTATGGCTATAGTTACACTAGAGAAGTGAACGTGAACACCACAGGATAGGAAGTGTGTTATTCGCAGGATCACCAGGTTATAATAAAGGAAAAAAAAAGCCTGATAAAAGGAAACGAAGGCAGTCATCTGATCTTATGACTGGTATGCTGCAATAGGTTAGCTTTTTATTTTTGAGTTTAGACACACTTTAAGGCCTGGGGAGATACATTTTAAAGGGGAAGCACCTTTGTGGGTGCACCTTTTGTGTTATCTTTTCTTCCTCACATAAAACAATAATATAAAAAGACTAAGCTCTGTAATGCCTGTCTATCTATCTATCTATCTATCTATCTATCTATCTATAACCATGAAGATCTTTTGTGGCCATAAGTGTCAGATTAAATAAAATCAGCCTGTAACCGTAAAATAGATGCAGATTAAAATGGAAGATTATTTCAACTCAAAATGACTTCTACAGAAATTGCACCTCATACACATTTTAACAAAATCCATGCTTTACGGTAATAGAGAAACTGACCCAGCAAATGACTGTGTCTTGCAGACTTTAAGAACTTATTGTTCTTGAGAAACTCTTTTGTTTTGCAGGTCGCTGCACTTAACCACTAGGTTGCTTCTTTAATCACAAAATAAAGTGTAAATAAAATCAAAAGTGTATGAGTGTATTTCATAACTTGTCCCAGCCCCAGAGACATGGAAGTCTTTCCAGGGTCGGGGACAGAGTACAAAGCTTCTTAACATACACATCTTTGGCTTGTGGTCCACACTAGTGATAAAACTAAAGTTTTATGACAAAGTATCTTCCAAAATAAACAAGTTGTAACTAGATTAGATTAAAGTACAGAGTGTCATTGGAAGATTTTAGGGGTCATTATAAATTATACCATTACGGAATAAGCTGTGTTTTAGTTAGGGCCCATGCATCACTGGCTTGAAAAAAACACATCTGTTTCTGAGCAGCACTATAGCAAGAAATGAACAATTGGGTGTCTATAATCTGCAAAAAGCTAAAAACAACTTTGTGTCTAATTGAGGTGCCCACAAACATGAGGGAATTGTCACCCAATCCTGACTAATATGTTACCTGCCAGATCAGGACTTGACCGTACATCTATGGGTCTGATCTTGAAAGGAGTATCAACGTGGGGTTATAATTTTTCAGACCATTGCTACTGGGAAGATATGCCAGTGCTGGGGATTATCTGCTCTCCTATTTTCTGTAGTCATTAAAATGAATGTTTGGGAGATTCAAGAATCCATGTTTAAAGAAAGACTGATTACAAAAAAAAATACTTTACAGGGGTCAGATGTGCTCTAATTCTAAGGCCAGATTGGAACATTTGATTTTGAAATGGACAAAAGCCACATTTGCTGTTAGAATTTCGTTCGAGAAAAATGTTTCATCCTGCTGCTTCAATATTTGTCATCATTATGGTAGATTTCACCCCAATAACAAATTTGCACGAACGTTCAGAAAAGCACTGCTTTCTAACAAAATTCTAACTGTGTATACCCAATGTTAGGGGCAGCATAGTCAGGGCCAGATTTCCCGCAAGGCCCGGCCTCGGGGCAGCAGGGGTGTGGAATAACTATTTTCCAATGCCCGGCACATGGAGTTCGGGGCGCCTAGTTGTTTTCTACATTTAGTCCTACTTTGGGCAAGCAGAGCTAAATGTAGAGCGGGGAAGCCACCACTTGTTTTGTGCAAGTGATCTTGGTTATGCCGCCGAGATCACTTTTATGCAGCCTGCAGGTCTGCCATTCTCCATGGGAAGGGGAGGTTGGCGGGTACATTGAGGAACCTGACCTTGGAGCACAAGAGAGAGTAAATCCGGCCCTGAGCATAGTGGCTAGTTTTGTAAGCATTGTAGTCCTGCAGTTATAGGGTTTTGAGATGTACACTTGCTTAGCCTATTACCTGTGTGGAAAGGTTGTTTCAGATCTAGTCACAGACCAGAACAACTTTCAACTGGCATCTAATTTTATTGACACTTTTTTGAAATGCCTGCACTTTAGAAAGGCCTGCCATTCCAAATAACTAGGAAAACGAAATATCTGATCACAACACAGCTATCTAAAGGGTCAACATCAACTAGGTCAGTAGACAAAAAAAAGAAAAGAAAGGGGGACAACTATGAAGGAAAGTGGGACAAAAGGGATTTGGGCCCAAAAGACAACTGGTAGCTATGACTCCTACATGTGATACTTTTTAGTGTCAAAGCCATATTTTTTTTACCTGCTTGTACAATGTTTAACCATTGCCAGGTTTTGATCTGTTATGTCTACGGGGTGTGCATTTGCAGAACAACACATGTAGAGCAAGTATACAGAATAAGGTTCCCATGGCAAAACAGATTATGGCTGTAGAAATATTTTAAATGTCTGATTTCCCTTTACAAGCGTGCATGATTCAAAGCAGTTTGTTTATCTGACACTGGAGGACAATGAAGAATAGCAGAACTAAGACACTAATGCAATAAAAGCGTGACTTCATTTGGAACTTATTTGTCTGTCAGGAGTATAAGTCTTCTCATGCTCAGGGCAGCAAACAGCATTACACTGACAGGGGGAATACAATTTGTATGGGACAGATCTATATAGGAAAACTCCTAACACGTTAATATTGCATGAGGGCCATCATGTAGTCAGGAAACAGTAGTGACTTACAATAGTAAATTAACCGGCATCCACAGCATCTGTTCACTGTTTGTAAAATATACATATAGTTTAGCAGTTTAATTAAATGATGTAACAAATGCATCTATAGCGAAAAGCCATGCTTGACTAGCTTGTTTTAAAATAGATGGCCTTACTGATCCTATGGCTTTGGGAAGAAAAGTTGGGTTCAGTCACCCAATACGTTTTTATGTTTCAGAGGGACTGAGATGGTGAGATGTCCTCACCTCAGTTCTTATGCTGGGCACACACCTTACAACCATTGCAAGACTTTTGTCTTGCGATGGCTGTAAGGTAATTAAAAAAACTTACGATCTGCCTATCTTGGGCAGCCAGATCGTACTTGCGATAATCGAAAGCCGCGCCCCCCTGAGGGGCGGGCTTCCGATGACCGCAATGCCAAAGGTGCAGTGTGCGCTTGCGCACACCGGCCCGTCCGGCTTTTATCTTACGAACATGCTACACACCCGCCGAACATCGTACGATGCTCGGCGGGTTTTAGAACATGTTCGTAAGTTAAAAGTCGTGCGACCTTACAGTAGTAGTGGGCACCCTTACTCTGTTTTTATGTTGCTGACATTATTAACACAAGTGAAGGTGTCATGCTTTCCTTTGCTGGTTTTATCATAATGCACTATAATCATGAAGCATACGGTGGCAAGAATGTAACACCACGTAGTGGTGGAATGAGTTACTGCAAACTAGGTATAGAGCCACCAGTCTCAGAGATGTGTAATAATTTGCCGTGATTTAACACATCATCTTCTGTTGAAAACCTAACTATGATTTGTGTGTCAACTTTACCTTTTTTCTTAATAGTAAACTGCAATAATATAACATCTCCCTGTCCTAGATGCCTTCATGACTCTGGCCAGGAAGAAGGGAGAACTGGAGAAAGGTGCATGCATGATAAGCATGCTCATACACTTGTGGCGCTCTTGTGATTTCACTGGCTGGAGGTGCAGGTCACAAGTCAGTGTACTTTCCTGACACATATACAAGACATGGTGTTCATACAAGATTGCAGCTCTCAAGTATGGAAGTGCCAAATGGGTGTGGTGGTAAGTAGTATATTATTATTAATCCGAGGCACTCTAGAGGACCTTAAGTAATGTTTTGGGTCTGCGTGCGTTGAGTTCTGCTTAATTTAGTGGTACAAGTGTTCTTTAAGGTAATTATTACAACAATTATTGCCAGATTTGGTCCAAAATTGCCAAATCTGCCAGTGTACAGGCAATGCTACAAGAGGAAGCAGCTCAGATATCAGATGGCAGAGATGGAAAATGAACAAAGTATTAATGTACATAGCAAATGTACAATAACTCTTGTCTCCCACAAAGTGTCAGAGCGTAAATACTAGGCATGTTCAGATATCAGTTCCGATACTTGGCATCTTCACGAGAACTACCGGGGTTGCAGGTGGGACCTGGCTCTGGCGCTCCACCACTGTCCTGAAATCATTAGTCTGTATTTTTTTAGAAAAACTGTCACATGACAATAAACAAAAATGTATTAATACTTGTATCTGTGAGTACTTGGACTAGTATCAGTACTTGTACTTGAAAAATGGTATTGGTGCATCCCTTTATATACATTTATAAAAATAATAATCATACATTAAAACAGAGATGTACAAATCCCTGGCGCTCCGTGTGCTCCTTACAAATGTCAGATGGCTCCTAACTTTTGAATTTCTCTCTAGTTTAGTCTTGGAGCTGGAAACGTATCTGTACTTGTCCATTCAAAAAGTACTGCACTCAGTACAAGACTTTTCTGGAGCTGTTCAATATAGACAGATAACTCTGATGTCATGAGATGTGAACCAATATTAATCAAATAAACTTTGTATGACCTTTTTTTCAATTTTTTTTAGGAATGCTGAAATCCATAATTGAAGAGCTTGGTTCGTTCTTAGTTTTGGCTAAGTCTTTGATGGACTTTGAAAAGGAGTACATTGGAAAAGGAGACTTGATGCTTGAACCCACTGTTACCTATTTTACTTGGCTATTGTGAGCAATTTTTGCTATGATTGGGGTCACACCATGTGCAGTGTCTATGAAGCGGAGGCCACCTATATGTGGGTCATCCTTGCCGATTTAAAGCTCAGTTCCTGGAACTTTTGGTTGTCTCTGTTGGACCAACTAAATCTAATGGAACCCTGGATAGCAGCACAAACCAGGAGTTCTAACCCTCCCTCTATCCAACCCCCCCCCCCCCCCCCCCCCCACATTGTAAGAATAAAATATTTCCACTATACAAAAAATAAACTGAACTATGTCAAACTTTTTTTACATATGTTTATTTGTAGGTTCTCAAATGTCATTACAGTCATATGCTGAGCCAAGTAATAGAGTCAAATAAACATGCAGACTGTATTAATTCCAAGAGGGAAACTTATAAAGCACTGAACGTGACATTCAACAAACAAACATTCACTAGTGAGGAATAATTCACTCTATAGGAAAAAAACAATGAGCACGATGAGTCACCTGCAGTGAATATTTGGTGATTGTCACATACACTGCTTTCTAAAGGTGGCCATACACTTTACAACCCTCGCAAGACTTTTGTCTTGCGAGGGTTGTAAAGTACTTAAAAAAACGTACAATCTGCCCATCTTGGACAGGCAGATCGTATTTGCGATCATCGCAAGCCCGCCCCCCTGAGGGGCGGGATTCCGATGACTGCAATGCTGAACGGGCAGTGTGCGCGTGCGCACACCGGCCCGTTCGGCAGTTATTTCTCGATCATGCTAAAAATCAGCCGAAAATCGTACGATTCTCGGCTGGTTTTCCAACATGCTCGAAATACAAAAGTCGTGTGACCGTACAGTAGAAACGGTCACACGCCTTCCATACACTGCACGATTCTCGTACGAATGCAGGATTTCCCGCGATTCCCGTACGAGAATCGTGCTGTGTATGGCACCTTAAGTATGCCTCCAAGTGTAAATTAAAGGGTCAGTCCACTCAAAACCTATATTTCAGATTGTCATAGATGCCACATAATAGTTTTTCCTGTCTCTCAGGGTCTCCAATGATGAGATCTCCATGTCTGAGTACCTAGGTATGCTCATCTAATGTGTTCATTATGAGAGGGTCTCATCTACCTGCAGGATTCTTAATTATTATAACAACACGAGGAATACAATAGGAGGACAAAATAAATGTATAGGTGGAAACACCTAAAATTGAGGTAGGCAGAAACAAAGGCAGGCTTTGCCTTTGGAGCCCCCATGGTACACAAAAAGCCAGCTGGTGACTCAGCCTTGATGATTCTACCTTATATTTGAAAGATTAGTTTTGGTTGGACCAACCAAATCTAAATAAAGTTGTACAAAATTGCTGACTGATACTTCGAAGGTGATTATTTCTTGGTATTTCATGGTATAGATACCATGACACAATTAATGAGCCCAAGCTTTATGAGCTGGCCATAAAGTGAAATGCTTCTTACAGAGTTGACTAACTGCTCCATACATTGTAGGACTGGAATTTGATATAGAGAGTGGCCTAACCCAATGATATTTCACCACACCCTTGTATATTTAAGCCAATGATAAAGAATTTGTAGATCAGAGCTTTTGAGGTGCGGAAACGGTTGTACAAAGACTTTGTACAACCGTTTCCGCACCTTAAAAGCCCTAATCGTAGGACTGGAATTTTCCAACCCATCTCTTCCCTTTCATCTTCAAATCACTCTCACAGAATTGCCTGAAAGTGATTGAAATGACAGAGAAGCAGAGGATAACTTGGTGCATGAGCTTTATCTACAGCAATATGCCAAGTGTAAAATCTTTCACTGTCCTTTATTAATTGTGCAGCTTTACTGCAGCAATAAGTAATGGTGATCAGATATTTCTATGTAAAATGTTTAAAAACAGAAACAAAATCACAGATGCTTCCTACGTGCTCATAGATTTATTCTTTCTTTCAAAATGACACTAGGCACTGATCATTTCTGATTCCCTATTTAAAATACATGGATTCTTATGTGGGCATGGATTAAAGGAAGCCTATAAGGAAAGAAATATAAAAACTTGCTTTTCTGACCTCCTCCTTAAAATGCCAACTTCCTGGCTGCCTGTGGCTTCAAACTGGTCCTTGTCACTGAACCAGAACAAGCATGATGCATGTGAAGTCAGAACGCCTGACCTACATACTTGTTCTGCTTTGGTGACATAGAACATGTTCAATACAGGCTCAAGCATCGGCATTACAGCCAGTAAACTATCACTTCCAGAAGGTGGTCAGCAAAAATAAAAAATTCCCTTCATGCACAGCTCATCTTCCAAGTGTGTTGTGATGTGCACTGTACATAAATGGCTTGAAAAAGAGGAGACATCTCCAACCAATAGTAGGAGCAACAAAAATCGAGAACAAAATGTCCTAGGAGAGATCCGACTAAGTGTAATATTTATAGTACAAAGCTTTGGATAGCTCTAAACGTTTTAGGTGAATAAAGAAGAACGATTTGGATACTCACAGAGATAGATTGCGATCGATTTGGAGAAAATGTGTGCAGAGAATTTTTCTATCCCCACGCAGGATGGTCGCTCTCGATGCTCATCAGGGTGGAGTTTGGATGATCCAGAGATTGGCAGCTAGTGGGACCCGATGTGTACTGGAGAGACGAGACAAGAATGCCCCCCCAAAAAAGTAGGATCAAGTCAGCAGAGGCACCCGGATGAAAGAAATAAAGTAACGGTGTTTCTTCAAATTAGACTTTTTTTCCATGAAACACACATAACTAAACCATCTCAACAGTGGCCAAGTTTAGAGCCATGAAGCGTGTTGAGATGGTGTATTTATGTGCATGTTTAATGAAGTAAAACCCTAATTTGAAGAAACACAGTTACTTAATTTCTTCCATCTGAGCGTGTCTGCTGTCTTGAACCTACTTTTTTGGGGCATTCTTGTCTCGTCTCTCCAGTACATCTATAGTCCCCCTAGCTGCCAGGCTCTGGATCATCCAAACTCCACCCTGACGAGCATTGAGAGCGATCATCCAGTGTGGGGATAGAAATATTCTCCACACTCCTTTACTCTACTGTACATAAATGACAGATGAAGTGAAACTGAAGCCAAAACTTTAGTTTTCGATAGCGTGAAGAGAGATTAGAACTGCTGTCAAGTTTTTATGGCTGTCTGGGGAAATCCTAATGTGGGATTCACCCTCTCTATTTATCCCAATGACGATTATCACTGAAAGTGAAACAAAATCACAAGTTTTGGGTGTTCACCACAGCAGGAATAGATGGTAAATCTTTCAATGGGGACACTTGTTACGGTGACGCTGATGACTTCCAGGGTTTCCCCTCTCTTTGGAAGGATTTCCTTTCCCTTCCTGTTGTGGCTATCTAACAGGAAATTAATGTAAATCTCCCCAATTGGAAACAGATGGCAAAAAAAAAAGCTGACAACGGTTATAACCTTCCCTTAATCTATCCAAACTAAAAAAAAAAAAAAAAGTTTTGGCTTCAGTTCTACTTTAATATAAGTCTATGCGGAATCTGAAGATTGGGCATGTTGAGTGTTGGGACCTTTTTAGGTAAATATCAGCAAAAGACAATAACTAAAATGTGAATAAAATGTCACAGGGAGAAAATGTAAATAAAGGTAAACGTGAAGGGGCAGCTAGCTAGTATGGATTGAACTATATGAATTTGATTACAGTCGGTTGGACAAGAAGCGGGACATCCCAGACAGTCAGTACAGTATTTATATAAAGAGACTCACCTTGCAGTCTTCACAGCACAGTCCATGGGCGCACACGGCTCCGGGAATGAGCTGGCATGTGCTAGCGTTGCAGCAAGGGTTCGTACATTCCTGAAAAGAGATTCAGAGGAAAGGCTTAGAACTTAACGGCTTCCACCGGCAGTAAATGTCTCCTTTGTGCCTACAAATGAGGCTTATTCATCTTTCAAAACTCACTTGGGCACAGAACAGCTATTTCGAACTTACTCACATTCTGCTCCCTTCGCTAACTTTAAAGTAAAAATGATGAAACTCGAGCCCGAGGTGGCTGTGCTGGGAAAAGGCCTGTGCCAGCCGCGGGAGGATGACGATTGGGCCTGGAAAGTTTGTAGCAGATTATTTGCAGCGTAAGAATAAATGAAATGTGCAAATGAGTTACTGCAATGGAGACAAATATTCAGAATTAAGCGGGCTTGCTATCTTGCCTGAAATCATAGCACTTCAAAAAAATCTGATTTATTAAGACTGTAACAAAAGAAAAGTGAAGCCCGTGGCAACTAATTAGATTCCATGTATCATCCATACCAGGGGTATCAAAACCTCAGCCCTCCAGCTATCCCTGAACTACACGTCCCATAATGCACTGCAAGATTCTGACAGCCACAGACAAACTCCAGAGGCAGAGGCACAATGGCATTTTTAGTTTTGTAGTTTCACGACAGCAGGAGGTTTGAAGTTTGGTTACTCCTGATCTATACCGTGATGTGTAGTTAATGAGGGCCAATACATTACTGTTGGCTGTAGCAAACATCTGGTGGTTTGCATGGATTCCACTGGCCACAGCTACTACAGGTACACAGGCTGGCCAACCAGATTGCTGCACAGATTATGCACTTCTATAGCAGTAATGGCAACTGGTACCATCCCCACCCTATAGCAGTATAATAACCTGAATGACCAATACAGAACTAAATTATTGCTGCAATTATCTGCTCAACACATGGTAACCACGTCTATTGTGCATAAATGCAGCCAGAATTTTATTATGGGCTGTATCCTAACCGTCATTCAAATCAGCCTCTGCTGCAGCCTCTCACCTATAATTTGCTACAGAGTTACAATGTTGCAGCCTGATCACTAGACCGAGGAATTGCTTCCTTTAGCCCGTGTTCTATTGAAAGATCCAACTCATCGAGATCTCCAACTACCTCACTTCCAGTGCTCAGAAAGACTGGAGATCTGCACAGTTGTGGTGCGCATGCGCGCATAGTGCTTTCAGTATACTCGTCGAGTTTGCCACCTGCTGAATATTGTTAAAATGCAGCTGTACAGAGCTCCGTCAGTCTTTGTGTTTTGCAGTCTAACGCCGTCTGGTCGAAAATCTCCAACATGCAAGTATCCGGCAGTGAGGAAATTGGAGATTTCAACGAGTTGAAGATTTTGATAGAACACCTGCAGCAGGCATCACCTCAGCATAGGTCACTGACTGGAGCACAAATAAGTGGTTGTGGCATTAGATTTACTTTTCCATTTTTTCCCTTTATTTTCACCTGCTTATCCTGCCAGTAACACACTTTCTGTCTTAGGATGAAAGCTCAGTCAATCCACTGCATCTATGTGGGAGCAGTGGTGCCACCCTAGGACCGGAAGTTATTACCTCACTAGATTTCTGGCAGGATCAGCAGGTAATATTTTGCAGCTGTCTAACAAATATGAAAAAACTTGTCACCAGTATATTTAACAGCCTAAAAGGGGGCAAACAAGAGATGTGCACTGTGTATGTTTAAAGCTGCATTTCAGCTATAGAAATGTATATATACACTGGCCCAGCTTGGCTCAATTTAAGTATATATAAATTATCCCTGGCATGTCCAAGGTGATCCTGTAAAACATTGTAGTAGCTCCAGCTACTACAATGTATTACAGCATCTTCTGGGTCCAGGAACTGCCGCTGTGCTGAGTGACTTACCCTCCGCTGTTAAAACAAAGCAGTTTGCCTGCTCAGCACAGCACAGCAGCCATTCTGGAAACGCATAGAGGGGAATTTATCAAAACTGGAGCAGATTTGCACTGCAGCCAATCAGCTTCTCTCTTTCATTTTAAAATCTTACCTAAGCAAACTGAAGAAAGATGCTGATTGGTTGCCATGGGCAACTGCTCCAGATTCAGTTTGCTCCAGTTTTGATAAATTCCCCCCATAGTATTTTTCTCAGTGTATATTAGACATTCTCTGATTGGATGAAGGGCTGTGACAATCATCCAATCAAAGAACGCCTGGTATTCACTCATAGAAAATACTAGGAGTACCACTGCAAGTATGTATACATTTCTATGGCTGGAGTTCAGCTTCACGGGCTGTATTTTAATGATAAAAGGTGACATGCCATGAAATGTATTCATGCAGACTTGTAAAGTTACAGAAAGGTCCACTTTAAACTATTCTCCTCCACTTAAAACTATTCTCTTCCCCATGACAACACTAGCTTCAATTTTAATCATTGGAATTGGATGGATTAGTCATTTATTATCTTTACTGTAGCATAGAGAAAGGACTTTATGGAAGGAGCATATAGAAAATACATGTAAAAATGTATTTTTAAGTTATCCTACGAACGTACATAGTTCAGCAAACAAGATGTCTTCATGTGTGCTGGTACCAGGTGCACTTTTTAGGTTCTGCTTAGAATGTCTAATCATTAAAAGAAGAGAAAATTACACAGAAAACCAGTGAGAATTCACCCATCACAAATCTAACTTCAATGAAAAGGATCCAGACTGGCTATGGTTTGCTGCACTTGGCTGTTCTGCTTTGCTGAGTGTATTGCCTTACTGAGTAATCCCAAGTACTGTATATCCTAGCCAATAAAGATTCTATTTATTATCTGTGTGTTAAAGGAAAAATGGCATTTACATTTTAACAGCTCTGACACCAAACAAATCATGCTTAAACTATTTTGGGTGAAAATCAAATCAAACTCATGAAACCTATTTATAAAGACTGACCTAATCTTGGATTCAATAATTCTCAAATAGTAAGAGCTAGATTTTCTATTGATGCCCGTATATAGTAAAAGGTTTATAATTCCTTGTTAATCGCTTATGTCTGGGTTGTAGTTTAATAAAAACACAGGACATAGACTGGATATCAATATAAAGATATAAAAATGCATCTAAATTGAAATGGGTTCCTTAAAGTGATATTAAAGTCAAAAGGATGTCAAGCTATTTCAAATGCTGATGAAATTACTTACAATGGATGCTGCTCCTTGATGTTTAAAAGTTTTAGTTTCCTGCAGAATCAGCTGCTCCCCTGATCACTGGTCCTGACTTCCTGTTTTAGAGTGACTCCTTGCTCAAGCAGAATGCTATGCAGTTACCCTTATGTGTTCTAGTAAGCTGTGTATGTTTCCACAAACCCCCTCTCCTCCCTTCTTCGAGCTAGTAGATGAACAGTTGCTGAAGTCTGCTCTGTCCTTTGTGGTCTTCTACTGGACAGGACATTCAGGGAAGCTGAGCTGAGAGTCTTGAAAGCAGCTTTTCAGAAACATGATGATTGTAAGTGTTTGGGGGAAAATGTAAAGCAATGCTTTGCTGGGCAATGCATATTTGTTCGATCTGCCATCTGGATTCATTATTAAAAAAAAAAAAAGAGTTGGAGAGCTTACTACTCAAATAATACTACTTTAAGGGCAGTCTAAAGCAAACATTTTTTTTTTTAAATTGCAAAGCTTTAAACTGCTTTCTTTTAGACTATAATAGGTGAACATTCTTTCAAACACTTTAGACAGCTTCCAACCTTAAAGTGACACAAAAATCAAAAGTTATATCTTAAAAATACATTCAAGTACATTAACTATTAACAAAAATGTATCTTATTTGAGTATCACTCGGCTGTAGATCCTCAAATCATCTCTGAATTGGTGCTGACACTGTCCTTCCTTCTGGAGGGTGGCTAGTGTTGTTCCCCATGGTCCCTGTGTGTGTTGTAGAGTAGCCACATGTCATGTACAGTAGAACTCACATACGTGTATGGTTCCATCTCCTGAGGGTCTCAGTCTTTCCAAGCTCTCTCCTGTAATGAACTACAATGTCAGGATTAGTTTACTAATTTGTATTGATATTGTAATTCATCACAGGAGCGAGCTTGGAGAGAGTGAGACCCTCAACAGATGGATCTTAGAAGTATGTGAGGTTCTACTGTATATGAGCAAACTGTAGGAAGAAGACTCAAGCTGGCAGAAAGCAAGCATTATGGTGGGACATGTCGGCAAGCATTGGGCTTATGATGATGACATCAGTTTGACAATATTTTCAACTCTTCAAAAATCATTCAGGATTCACTGACAGCTGCAGTTGACTTGCAGTTGACCTCATTTAGACATGCCTTTGACCTGCTTCAAGTGGGTTTTACATTCCTTTAGAATGCGGGAATGCAAAATCTGCCTGAAGCAAAGAAAATCCCATTAACACAAATCCTTAAGAGCTCAGTATGGAATTGTGGGGGCACAAAGGGTAAATATAGTTTTTTTTAAAGTAAATCTGCCCTTTAAAGCTGCCTTCAGTCCCAATTTTGGGATGCAAAACATAGACCATAATAGGGGTCTATGTTTCTGACTTGTTGGCTGACTCTTTCAACAAGCTGCTAGCAGGCTTTAACTTGGCCACTAAGTGTGACGGGTGGCCTCATGTGTCAAGAGGAAGGGAAGGAGGGCAGGAAGAAACAGAGCACTGCACTTCCACCAAACGTTAGGTTGGTATTTGCAAAATAGAGTGCCCAGAGTTTTGGGGTTCTTGGGGAACCCAGGTAATGAAGTGAATATGCATACAAACACCTGGATATGGCTAGCTACAATCTACAGGTTTGCTTTAGCTTTAGGAGTTTTATATTGTAGTTTTAAATTATAGCAAAAACAAAAAATCCCTCAGCACTCAAGAGTCTTACATATAATAATAAAGGGGCATATAGGAAAACTGCGAGGATCACCGTTGAAACTCTGAACTAGCATTGCAGGCTGCATATGTCCTTTTAAATGACGCCTTTGTTTTCATTACATCAAAAGCTCTGTTAAGACCATTTTCTTACTTTTGAAGAACACGGTAAACCTAACCAGACACCCCAACGGCCATCCGAT